CTGTCTATCTGCCTGTCTGTCTATCTGCCTGTCTGTCTATCTGCCTGTCTGTCTATCTGCCTGTCTCTCAGCGTGAGAGTTTGAATAGACACGGGAAGCCACATTTGTGGTCAGCCATCTTGCCACACACCGCCCTTGTGGTGGTTCTTCATTGTAACCCTACAAAGCAGCATCACCCCGGTCAGGCCTGCCATCGTAGGGCCTGGGTGCGAGGAGTGGTGCCCGTTGGGGTCACTCTACAGGGACGTCACCATTTTGTTAGGGCAGTATGTGGTTACTGGTGAGCAGACTGTACACTGTGCAATGTTATTATGCCTAACCCATACGAGCATGTGTCCAACACAGTCAAACAGAACCACATGACTGGATAAACAGACGCTAACAGATGTTAACATGCTAAAAAACCCCATTCATACAGCTACCAGCTCAACCTTGATCTTTAGGCCAAAATGGCCGTTTTATTAGGTAAATTAATAGGACGGATTCCTTTGTGTTGTTAAGCCTGATATTTATATTGCTTTAATAACAGACATGCAGTGTGTTTGTGTGCAGTGTGTTTGTGTGCAGTGTGTTTGTGTGCAGTGTGTTTGTGTGCAGTGTGGCTCTGGGCATCGCGATGCAGTTTGAGCCGCGGCAGCCATGACAGTAGGCTCCCCCACCCACTTCACGCTCCTGAGCTGGCAGCCGGACCCTTTGCGTCGCCATGGCTACGGTGCCGCACAGACCGCCGGCATGCAGTAACAGCTTTTCAGCAGCAGAGTGTCTCTGAAGTGGATCATTAGGGATTTGGTGGGAGACTCCACCCCCCCCCCCACACCCACACAGTCGCCTGAGTGTTGCCGCTCGGGTAGGAGCTCATTTAGACTTTGATTTACATTCCACAGAACATGGGGAAATGAGGGGTAACATGTTGCATTGTTCTGAATATACCACATGGACGTATGACAAAGCTGGTCAATTACCCCCCCCCCCCCCCACACCCACACACGAGTGGGCGGACGAGTGGATTGGAGCCACGTGCGGATCTTGCCCGGCAGTGCACTTACCACGACCCCCCACCCCCCTGGTTTTCTCCCCACAGCTCCGGATCGGCATCCACTCTGGTTCAGTTCTGGCTGGCGTCGTGGGGGTGAAGATGCCAAGGTATTGCCTGTTCGGGAACAACGTGACCCTGGCCAGCAAATTCGAGTCGGGATCCCACCCGCGCTGCATCAACGTCAGCCCAACCACGCACCAGTAAGTACCACGTGATCCCCACAGCTGGAACCCGCGTCTTGGGCCAGCAGTCCAAAGGTATTGTTCCGTTCTGGTGTCTGTGGGGGGGTTCTGTAGCTTCTAGTCATCCCGTGTTCCTCACACACAACCTCGCTGACTTGACATGGTGCTCAGATAAATTATACTTCCCCTTACATATTTTAGCATCTCTTTAATTTCTGCCCAATTGCTCCCCCCCCCCCACAACAGGGGCTTCAAAGGAAAAAACAATTAAAAGAATCCAATTTCCAATCCCCCTCCCCCCAACACCCCCCCCACACTGACTGCGGTCATGTCTGAGCTGAAATGGAGAATAAGTCAGAGTGTTGCTGTGGCAACCGTTCTGATTTTTTATTGTTCAAGGACCCCCCCCCCCCCCCCCCCCCCCATAAGGGGATGTAGCCAAAGGACAAAGAGCTGCTGCACGTCCGTCGCGTTTTTGCCGTCCGTTGCTGGACGGAGGGCAGGGGTACAACACTCTCACTGGTACCATTATATACTAAAGGCACAGCCAGCTTCACCTCCACCTCAGTGTGCGTGCGTGCGTGCGTGCGTGCGTGCGTGCGTGCGTGCGTGCGTGCACACGTGAACATTGCCACTCCTCTGTGCACGCGGCACTCAGCATGTCCGTGGAAACACCGCTTTCCTGCCAGCTGCCGTCATTCCAGATGCTTCTATAAGTCAATTTGATGCTCGATATGGACATTCGAGTGGAGCGACATAGATGATGTCACTCTTGACCTCATTGGTTGAATTTGTACTAATACTACCGTCCACACACACAGATGGCCCCCCAGCCTGGGAATTACCCCAGTCTTACGTACATGCGTGATGTTCCTCATTCAGGATATGGGTTTCCCCAGACCTGTGGAAATGCCGCTCATTTAGGTTTTGATGTGCAAGAACAGGAAGCGTTTGTTCTCTGTCCAGATGGTTATTTTTGCTCTTATGTGCCCCTGCAGGCTGCTTAAGGACGACAGAGCCTTCACCTTCATCCCTCGGTCCCGGGAGGACCTACCGGATAACTTTCCCAAGGAGATCCAAGGAATCTGCTATTTCCTGGAGGCAGGGTCATCGCAGGGAGCCGCTCCGGCGGGAAGCTCGCGGCCCACCTCCTCCGCCTCCTCTGCCCCCATCCGCAAGGTGTCCTACAACATCGGGACCATGTTCCTGCGGGAGACGAGCCTGTGAGCGCCCCCCGGTGGGAAGGCCGTGCTGCTCACTTAGCATTCTACCACCATTACTGGCTCACACTGGGCCGGTGGGCAACTGGAGGACAGGAATGAGGAATCAGAAGCTTATGCTCCTTCAGACCCTCTGCATCACATCTGACATTGTACTCGCATAATTCGGTGCCTTCTGACCACGGACGCCGTCAGAGAGACGGAGGATCCCTCAAGCACACCTTCACCGTCCACCGTGCCGCCGCCCATCTAGCCTGCCTGTCGGATGTCTGTCCGTCTGTCTCCTGGCAACATCCATTCCTCCTCCTCATCTTGCTTCCCGGAATTCCTAACACTAGGCCAGGTCATGTGACCGCGTTTCCTCGCCCCAGATAGGTCTGACGGGCGTTATGTGAGCAGCTCTCTGTACTTTATGGGTCGTGTAGTCAGCTAACAAGCCCTGTTTTCATTTGATTCCTGTGCAAACTGCCCACTTGTGGTAGAGAAATGCTGTAACACCTTTTAAATAATTAAAAAAAAAACAACTTGGCATAGCCTACTAAAACCCACCTGGAGAACTTACGGTCCAAATCCTACTGACCATCCCATTCGATAAGCTGCATTGGGTGGGGGGAGTGGGTAGTGTCACTTCTGTGGAAACATCACTACCCCACAGTTTTCATGCCGACAGTCCCTCCCTGGACTCCAGCGGTCTGTCTGCAGTGCCCCGTTGCCCAGCGGCCTGGGCCACCAATCAGAGTGTTCAGATCGCTAGCCAATAGCAGCGAATGACAGACTCTCAGGGTGGTCAGTGTGAGAAGAACTAGAGCTTTTCTGCCGGTGATGGAGACTACAGACCCGCTGTGGTGACTCAGCGCAGGAGGCCTGCTGATTGGTCACTCAGATTCAACAGTACAACAGACTGACCCCAGCTGGCCGCGGAGCTGTTCTGCTGTGCGTTGTCACAGGCGCCAAGCACAGCATTGGCCCGCCCCCATGACCCGGTGTCCCCTTCTCTCACCGCACCATTAAAGCACCATAGGTGTGAACACAGTCTCCTCACATCACAGTGTTTAAAATGCGGCTCTGCGATATGGTGACCAGGAAGAACCTGAAGCTCTCAGTTTAATTTAACTTCATGGTCTTACACTGGAACAGGAGATTTTGTAAAATGTACTAAATGGACACTTAATGCTTATACTAATATATTTTCTGTTTGCCTTTCATATCCAACACTGAAATGCTTAGGTGTCTGTTTATAAGACTCAGATAATGAGATAAAACTCAGAAGACAAGCTACTCCACACCAGACCGATCCCTTTAAAATAGCTCCAGCACTTGCAGTAAAACAAAACATATATAAAAATAAAATAAAATAAAATAAAACAAAATAAATTAAAAGCAAAATGCTTTACTTACCTGTGGTCATTATTTTATGGACTTCGGAGTCAAGTTTGAAACTCAAAGAAATATGTTTGGGAGGGCAAAGTCGTCGGCCTGTGGATCCATTGTGTCAGAACACGGGGCGCCAAGGTAAGGAGCTTCACCAAAAACAAAGAACAAAACTAAAAACCAAAGAACAGTTTGGTTGGATTCACGGCAGGTTCCCAGCTGCCTGTCACACCCCCAGAAGTCATCCCATGTCTGTCACCCGCCGGAGGGTGATGGGGCGTGTCGTCATACCACGTGACACTCTCGCCACTTGGTGTGCTGTAAGTACAGGTCAATGTAGCACTGCCTGCAAGAGAACGGGCCAATCAGAGGCCAGCAGCTGCTCCCGGAGCCCCTTATCCGGTAGTTTAACGATTTGTTTTCTAATTAAAATACAAAAACGTCTGGCAGCAATACGGATGGACGTTGTTTCTGTTCTGTATGGAAGCCTGCCACGTCTGAGCCTGAGATGTGCTGTAAAATAACTGTACATTATAAAATTTGTATCCAATCTGACATTTTAAGCAATAATGTAAGTGTTCTACTTGTGGCAAGATAATAAAGTTAGGGAGTACAGTGAGAACTTTGTCCCAGGTTTCTTTTTGTGTCCTCCACACAGTAGCTGATTGGAGGTGAACCCGAATTCATCTGCCAGTCTAAAGATGTGGGGCAGTTTACTCACTGCCGGAAAACCACAATCCACCAAACAGACTCGGAGAACTCAAGCATCAATATGGGAGCGTTTTTTTTGCTCTCCTCTATAACACTGATACACTCTATAACTCCTGTCACACTTTGTCCCAGGGAATTCTGGGGGGAAATGCTGTGCAAACAGACTACTGTCAGGCCCTGCAGAACCGTGCAGAGCAGCTTGTGGGTTGGGGGGGGGGGATTGAAAGGGATCCAAAGTTACTTTCAATGCTAGTTTGCAATGATAAAATGGAAAATGTTGTACTGCAGTCTCAGTCCCCTTCCTAATGTATTTCTATGTTGCTCACTGTGGCCTGTTTCACAAATCACGTTTCTCTCAGAAACTAGCATATCCTGTCAGCCACAGGCCCCATTAGCCACATGCACTGTTAGCCAACACCCTGCTACTAGCCACAGGCCCCGTTAGCCACATGCACTGTTAGCCAACACCCTGCTAACAACACATCCGTTTAGGAGCGCGTCCCATTAGCAACACACCCAGTTATAGCCGCATGTCCCCTTAGCCAATGCCCAGTTAGCCACGCATTCCATTATTCATGTGTCCCACTATAATCACATGCCCTGCTAGCTTGGGATGTCACGATACCAGAAATTTAGAGGTTTTCGATACCCAATTTAATACCACGGTAAAAATAAATAAATAAATAGACAAACAAACAAATAAATAAATCCAATGTACTTCAACATATACCGCTTTATTGACAACATTTGAACATGACAAAAACAAGTCGCATCAAGTAATAACTAAAAAGAAATTACTACAAACGTCAGAAAAAGAATAGTGCCATATAGGCTATTAAAAAACAATGCTGTGCATTGCTGAGTGCAAACAATCAACTTTTTATGGCACAGCAGTAAAATTGCAGTATCCGGCCGAGACACAAGAAGTATGGAAATAATAAAGTGACAAATAGAACAAATAATTTGCATGTTAGCATTACAAGGACGGCACGGCTCACGCGTGTGGAATTACTTTCTAAAAAATAGGATATTAAGCCAGAAATGGAAAGCATAAGAAAAAACTCAATCAAACTCAGGTAAGAAACTCAATCAAACTCGGGTAAGAAACTCAATCAAACTCGGGTAAGAAACTCAATCAAACTCGGGTAAGACATTTTTTACTCGTTTACTTACAGTTTCAATGACTGGGGCAGTTGGATGATAAAAAATGTGTTTAATAACAAAACAAACCACATAATTATTTGTGGCAGCGCAAAAACTTTACCGTAAAAGTATTTTACTTCCATATAAGTAACACTTTTTGAAATCGGTCTGTGATCTGATCACATTTCCTGACTGACAGGATTTAAACTAGACCATGTCTCTGAATCTAGTACAAGTGGTTCAAAAGTAATAAACATTTTATTTCAGCTTCGTCCTATTTTTCAAACAGGTACCATCTCAGAATCTTGCCATTGACTTGGTACCGACATCCCTACTGCTGGCCACACGTCCCCTTAGCCCCGGGCTGCCAGCTTCACTCAGCCAGCTGGAGTGAGATTTTCAATTCGAGACAAGTCTGCACACACGTTTACATGTATGTGAGTTTTATTGCCTTGTAAACAGTCTGTAGGGTTTGCAAACAGCCCCAACGCTTTTCATGCAGCTAGTTTTAGGTTTATAATGGAATAATGTAGATTTGCCATACTGTAAGATTTCTTGCGTGAGCCGGCGTCTAAAAGTGTGAGTCGTGCCAGATGCGTAAGAGTCGGCGACCCTGCGTTCGCCACATGGCCTGTTATCGCCGTTGCGTTCGCCACACGCCCTGTTATCGCCGTTACGTTCGCCACACGCCCTGTTATCGCCGTTACGTTCGCCACACGCCCTGTTA